TGAAATTAGTCTTCAAATCCAAAGTTTCATTTTTTTCCTTTCTGCTAAATACATTGTCAACTTAATACATCATCTCATTATAACTGTTGACACTATTAATTACTGTCTCCATCTTGAAATAATCTGTATCTCTGGATTTCATGATTCCCACTCTTCTGATATAGCTCCTTTATCTATGGGTTTTCCCTTTCCATCTCCCTTGCTGGCTTTTTTCCTTCTGCTAATCTTATATACTCTAGAGATTCCTGGCTTATTTCTCTCTATTCACCTTCCCAGTATGACTCCATCTACACGTGTAACTTCACCTATTTCCCATATGTGGATGACTCCCAAATGTACATATCTAGCTCAGTTTTCTCACTTATTCTTTATGACTGTATTCACTGGTATAATAGTCATCTCAGATAGCTGAAACTCAATATGCCTAAAATTTATCTCATTCKTRTAAGTTTTAAKAAACTAATCTRYTAYCTATRTTMTTATAAAATTTCAGTGACTGGATCACAATAAAAGTAGTTGCTAAAGACTGATTCCCTATTTCACCCCTTACATCTAAGTAGTTCCATCCTATTAAAACTACCTTCCAAATGTATTTATATATGAGATCAGAATGCACTACAATTCTTATTACTTATATTGAGCCCAATTTTTCATACTTCTGGTTGTATACATAGTATATCCACACCAATATGTGTCTTCATACATGTAATTTGGATATTAATGATCATCACATTCCACCATCATTAATTACCCTATGCCCCATCCCTTCCCCTCCAATCCCTCTGCCCCATCTAGAGTTCGTCTATTCCTCCCATGCTCCCGCTCCCTATCCCACTATGAATTAGTCTCCTTATATCAAAGAAAACATTCAGCATTTGTTTTTTTGGAACTAATTGTTTATTTCACCTTGACACTTCTCCCTATCAACATGGTTACAGTTATAGTTTACGTACAACCGTTTCTCAACTGGACTACTGCAGCAAGCTTTTGATCTGTCACTCCAACTYTAGTCTTGACACATTATAAACTGAAATAATAGTCTTAAATGTAAATATGATTTCTGAAAGCATGCACTGCTTCTGTCAAACAATTAAAAAAACATTTTACAGATATATTATCTTAATTTTATTTATTTTTATGTGGTTCTGAGGACCAAACCCAGTGCCTCACATGTGTGAGACACGCACTCTATCAGTGAGCTACAGCTCTAGCCCTCTGTCACACAATTTTAAGGGGAAMTTTTTCATTATAACTGAAGTTCAGTTGTTAAGATTAAACTAATAAGCACATATAAATAATTTATTGACATTAGTTTCTTTTTAATTATACACAGGTTAAAACTGGATGCAAAAGTACATTTACAGCACTTGAAATTTTACTGGATGGAACATGATGGAGGCTCACTTTTAATGTCCAA